AGAAAATTAGTTTTGACAATAATATTTTGTGTTACATCTATTTTGGAACCGGTTCCAAGAACCGGTTCGAACGGTTCGGTTCGGTTCGGTTCTATTGTAACCGGTTCCATGGAACCAGAACCGAACCGAACCGAACCGCCCCATCCCTACTCTAGAAAGAAAGACTTGTAATATGAAATGAGTTACTTCTATTAGTGGGAAGAGTTACATTTTTTTAGAGATCTCTATAAACAAAATATATTTAAACTTTTGCAGTTTAGAATTTACGTGTAGGAAAATTTTGAAAAAACTTGAATATATTTTGCATACTTTAGCTATGGAACATCATGTAATTTATCACGTGATTGACCTACCCTTAAAAAAAGTTATTTAAATTGACACACACTCAATCATTAGCACTAAAGAAACGGACTATTTTAGGATTATCAAAGCTAATTCCATTACAAGAGCAGATAATAATAATAATAATAATAATAAATGCTATTATGAGATCAAAATCCGCGTCTCACACAAATCTCTTGATTTTTATTTATACTAATATTTATTCCGTTTTCTAGCAGTATCCAATTATTTAATTCTTTGATCACTTTCTTTCACTATAGCGTTCAAGCTATTTAATTATTTACAGGGCAAGTTTCCTTACTTCCCTTCCGGTAACGTTTTCTCAGAAGTTATTTGTTATCTGCCTGAGCCGGCACGTCTCAATGATATTTATAATATCTGAAGTATCCGCCGTGATACTTTCTACACTGATTATTATATTTATGGCTCAGTCTCTTAACTGACCTCACCTAGCTAGGATTTCCACTATTTAGGCGTTTGCCTAATCTAGATAAAAATAAAGAAAATAAAATTAAAAGAAAATAATTATGCACGGGATTAGTATAAATTCGTCGTTAGGGATAGATTTATTATCATTACGAAAATATAATGCTCGAAGACCATAAGGACAAGGTCAAGGTTTATTTACTATAATATTTGAGTTAAAACCAACTAAAGATTACATGAAAGAGAAATTTACAACGTATTTATACATTTTAGAGGTTCTATCATCTAGTTCTCCGATTTCTTTAAAATCCTAAATTATACTAATTAATGTATTCTTTAATCATTATTTAAACCTTCCATGTAGAATTATTTTCAAGTAATTTCTAGTCAACATGAGTCATGTAAAATTCTTTCGTTTAAATATTATTCTGAGACTTTGTAATTCGTTACATTTTAGAATGTTGGAATATTTATATTTCCAATATTTCCGTGAGTCAATTATTTTATTGGTTGAATAAATTGATCACTTGATCAGTTTTTCCGATTTTATTTGCGTGTAATAGTAACTTCGTAAATCATTTCCGATTTATATGTTCGTTTCCCGTGGTTTATAATTTACTATTTTACAATAATTTAAGTGATTTGTGAAAGTTCAAGATGCAAAAAAAAAATTTTTTTGAAATTTATACACTTTGTTACCATTTCTGATTAATTGGTTGATTCATTTCTAGTGTCTTTATCAGATAAGAAAAAGTTTTGATAATAATGTCACATTCTGTATAATCTTTAGCTAACATATCATTGCTATTCAATGTCTCATAAACTGTGCACAATAAAAGTAAAATAAGTCAAAGCTTTCAAATAAACAAGGACATTCATATTCACTTACAAGTCAGAATAGATCTTAGTGATTTTATATAAACAGCTATATGATTGTGAATCCATATGTTCTTTTAAGCAATATTTATATGTTTGAGTTTTGTTACCAGTTTTTATCATCTTTATTTTGATAAAAATATGAATGTGTATAGTAAAAAAACAAATAAATAATGAATAGCATTAAGGAATCTTAAGAACATATCTACCTCTTCAACTTTACTTATGAATTTATTGCTTTCATCCGATAATTCTGGAATCTTTAACATCCATTTGTAGTCTTTTACCATAAATTTGCTTTCTTCATCAGGAAATTTTCCCTGTTGTAATATTATGTTTATAAATTTTAATATGAAAGTTGTAATATTTGCATAAAAAATTATGTAATATTTACACTCAATGTAATAATTGCATGATTTTTGCATAATATTACAGGGCCCACCATAAACTTATGTAAATAGTGTAATAATTATGTAAATCCACATCAGAAAAAATTTCCTGATGTTCTAAAGTGAACCATTTATTCATGTGGGATGAAAGGTCTATAATTCTTGAGGCACCATACCTTAAAATTGCTCTTACTGCAGGAGTCAATGCTTTTTGTTGAATGGGCATGATCTGAAATATTTTTTTAAAATATCTCATTAACAGCCTTATTTTCAGTCAGGTTCCATTTATCCACAGTGGTAAAATCTGTGAACACATTTAGTTCCAGAAGTTCATCTCCTTTGTCATCAATTTCATTGCCATCATTTTCACCATCAATTGGATATAAATCAAGGGAATAATATTCTTTAACTGAATATAGAAAAATATATGAGTTTTTTCATTTCTTTTAATTTAAAAACCACAGACAACATTACCCTTTTATATATTCTCTAAATGAGCATCAAATAAATGAATGATATTTAACAATTCATTAACATTTTTGCTTTATATATGATTCAATATGATATATATTTACTTGACTATTATGAACATCATCACTATTGTCATTATTTCATTTTTGTTGATTTACAGCAGAAATAACTTCACCTGAGCTGCTGAACCTTGCCTCATTGAGAACCTTTACACCTTCTATTATATAGTTTTCCCCAGCATTTTTCTATTTTTGGAAATGTTAAAGTTAGTATCAATATATATACAGTGTATACATGCAGCCCAAAGTATTTTGACATTGTCATAAAGGGGGTTACACATGTAGTAAAGGGGTGTTACACTTATGTTTTTAATAGTGAATGCCGTAATTAATTTCTACTTTCTACCATCAAAATTGGAATAATTTTGACCATCAAAATCACCAAACCAATTTGGGCTGCATGTATAATTATAAGATCCTTATCAGCAAAAAACGATTTGGTGTTTTGCCTTGTGTAATCAATATTAATATTAATATTACTATAATTAATTACAAGAAGATGTCAAGACAGCACACTGTTGAAAAAGAGACATTTTGATATGCAATGTTTGATTATCAGGAATTAGCAGGTGTTGAAGTACGCACACTACCTTGAACATTACAGTCATTCTCACATGTTCCTCATGTGCACAAGGCTAATCTGACCTGCACCGCCTGATGATACAATGATGCAACTGAATTCCATGGGGGTGGGACATGGCCCTGGAGTTTACCAAGACTAATGCTACTGTACATTATAGTTATGATTGAGCCCAAAATGTTCATATACCACATTCAGATCAACAAGTAAATAAAATCTATTATCTTGGTCCATGTAAAATCCATTTGTTTGGTATTCAAGGTGAAGCAGTAAGGGAACAAATTAATTATGTTCTTGATGAAGATAAAATCATAGGAAAAGGTCCTAATGGTACACTTAGTATGATATTTGATAGAATTAAGAAATTGAACAAAGGTGAAAACATTTAAAGATCACCTGTGATAATGCTGGGGGACAAAATAAAAATAATGTAACAATTTGGTTCTATTTATATTTGGTAATTTGTGGTTATTATAAAAGTGTTGAATTGAATTTCATGATTCCTGGACATACCAAATTTAAATGTGATGGTAGTTTTGGCATGATTAAAAAACTCTACAGAAAAACAAGAATAGATTGTCTAAATCATGTGGTTGAAGTGGTAAAAAAGTCTAGCCCAGCTGGATTAAATAAAGCTCAATGTTATGAAGGTGGAAAAGGTTTCCAATACTTAGATATTAAAGCAATTTTGGGAATTTATTTTAAGAAATTACAAGTATACAGAAATGTCAACATTTTCTTTTTGAAGCATCTAATCTTGGTACAGTAAAAGTTCAAGAAGTTGCTAATGGACCTTTGGCTGAATTCAATTTATTGAAAACTAAGAAAGCAGATATTTTTGAAGAAATTAAATCTTTATCTATTTTAGTGTTAACACCACCTCCTTTGGACTATAAAAGACAAGAATATCTTTATCATAATATTTGCCCATTTGTGAAAGATGAATACAAAGATATTACTTGCCCAAGACCAATCTATACTGGCAATGAATAAAATATTTAGAATAAAATCACCTCCAGTATTTCATTGTCATTAAGTTTAATAAGTTTAATCTTTCAATAAATATTGCTAGCTTTTAGTAAAAAAAATACTAAAATAGTTATATACTTAATATACTCTCTAAAAAGGATATAAGGATTATTAAAAGAATAATAAATAAGAAAATCATGGTAAACATCCTAAAAGAGCAACAAGAAAAAAATAAAAACTTATTAGAAGAAATCAAAACATTAAAAAAGCAATTAGAAAACAAAGAAGATGATTTTAAACTAAGAATTTGAAATGCTATTGACAATGTTAAGGAAAGCAAAAGACCAGATATTGCTGGCACTTTAATGACTTTAGAACAACATTTTTGACCCAAAGATGAGTGAGTAAAGATTCAAAAAGAAAATGGAGTTGAAAAAGTTATTTTTGGCAACAATTTCACTCTTGAAAACATTGTTAAAGGCTTTAGTGAATGAACATTACTTAATTGTGATTCTTATAGTTATATTTATCAAAAAAATGAAAAATTAGAAGAAAAGAATGCTTTTTTAGAAAAAAAAGTTGCTGAATTAACTCCTTTTAAAGAACAGGTTGAAAATTTAAAAGAAAATATGGCTAAAACTCTCAATACTTACCTTAAGGAAGAGCAACAAGAAGAAAAAAATGATTGAGATTATTGGCACAAAGAAGATTTAAAAGAGTTAATAAATGAAAATGAAGATAAACCAGTTGAAGTTGCTATTGAAGTTATTGAAAAATGGGAAAAAGATGCTAAAGACTTTGCTGAGGCATTAGATACAGCTGAAGAATGAAAAAATTGACAAAAAGGTCTTTTGAATGATGAAATCAAAGAAAAATCACTAATGCTCCAAAAGTCTGATAAAATGCTTGAAGAGGAAATAACAAAGAATGCAAAATTGCAAGAAGAATTAGCCCAAAAATTAGAAATGTTAAAAAAGGATGATCAGAGATTTGAGGATGAAGCAAAAGAAAGAGAAGAATTAAAAACACAACTATATTTGGAAAGAAGTGATTGTGGAAGATTAAAGACTAGATATACTTGTGATTGCAAAGAAGAGGAAAATGAAAGAACTTTCTCTTTTACCTCATCAAAATGGAGGAATGGTGCTTTTTTATGAACAGCAAATAAATGGCTTGCAAGAAAAGGAAAGACAGTTAGAAGAGGAAGTAGACACACACTTGGAAGCCTTAGAAGTGGCTGAATATTGGCATAAAAGACAGAAACAGGAACTATTAGATCGAATTAAGCAACTAGAAGAAGAAAACAAACAACTAAAAGAATTAACTCCACAAGAATTATTAAAAGAAATCAATGATTTAAAAGCTCAATTAACCCAATTAACAACAATAGAATGGTCAATTATTTGCACAAATTGAAATTAAAGAAACTAAGACATGACCTTGATTGAAAATAAGAAAGTAATTTTTGGTTATTGGGTGATAATACATCATCATGATGCTTCCTTTTTCCAACACTTATTATTTTTCTTCCTTCATGGTAAATTTCATAGGTAATCCTTTCTTCCTTAGATAAGCTTCCAGTGTTTGAGTATCATTTATTTTGAAAATGTGAGGAGCAATTTTTTCACCTTGCTCCTTTTTTAAAACACTTCTAATGGTGCTGTAATTCTTGAGTTCCATAGTAGACCTAATGTAAATTAATTTCATATTACTATTTTTATATAGGGGGATAGTTTTATATATCACTTAAGATAACAAATGGGATATTAATTATGATCACATTACAAATGACTAAATTTTGATCCCTGAAATTCTTGGTTATACCAATGTTCACTTTGTCTGGTTTTGTTGCAGCATGCCCCATATAACTTATTTCTCCGTAAGTTTTTTTAATTGTTTATTATAACTTGCATCAATAATAATGATAAGGTATTCAGTGACCAATTAGAACAATTCGATAACAAATAAAAAAAAACCAATTATTCGCCCGTTTTTTGGCAATGTTAATAATCAGTTGACAATTGGGAATCCCGAATTTTAACTAATAATAATAAAAATAGTGACAATCTAGAAAACCCCGATTTTTAGCAATGATAATCGATTGACAATCGGTAATCCCGAATTTTAACTAAATAGCTTTTAAAACCCCGATTTTTAGCAATGTTAATAATCGATTGACAATCGGTAATCCCGAATTTTAACTAATAAGCTTATTAACAATAGTGGAAATTCAGAAAAACCCGATTTTCATCAATTTTAAAAATTGTAAGAATCCCTAATTTATTGTTAATGATTGATCAATTTGACAAAAATCGGGAGTATTACCGATTTTTCTTTTTTTTACTTGTGTTTCTGAATGGATTCTTCCTATTTTAATAGATAGAGCCGACATTAAAATCACCATTTCAAAAATTGATGTCCACATACTTGAAGTACACACACCAATTTTAATGGCACAAAGCTTTGATTATCTTGACTGTGGGCTTATAGCAAGTGCTAAATACTTCCTATATTTATCAATTGCACATGCTCAATGTGTCAGATGTATCAACCAGAAGAAGGCAAGTGGTGTTGGATCTGGGAAAGTTAAAACCCACTTCACATTGATATTTTGTTTGGTATTTTCCCTTTATTATTAGCTTCACCAAAAAAAGCAAGAAATAATTGTGTTTTCACATCAAAAAAATAATTAGACAATAATCAAAGCAAGTTATCCTTCAATCAAGACTGGCTACTGCCTTGATGATGAATAAAAAAGTTAATTTTTTCACTTATGTTGCAGATCTTTTGTCGCATGAATTTTCCAGATGAATGGAAAGATAATTCATTCTTTATATATGTTGTGCATGAAAAAGAAACAAACTGCTATTTCAAATTTAATAAATAGGCTATTGCATTGATCAAAGAAATGTGCAAAACATATACTTGCTATCATCCACCCAAGGTTGCTTGCTGAAACCTCTTAGTGACTGTCGAAACTCTGTCGAAAATCTAATGAACAATTAGTATATATACCTTGTCAAAACTCTGTCGAAACTCTAATGAACAATTAATGTGTAACCTATAGAAACTCTGTCGATTGAGTTTCGACTACAACCTTAGTCAACAAATGATGAATAAACAGGATAAGCCAACTAAAATCTTTGGAGTCATTCCATACCTGGCACCTGAAGTATTATTAAAAAAACTACATACTGAAGAATCAGACATTTACAGTTTTGGTATGAAAATGTGAAAGTTTACTACAGGAAAGAAACCATTCTATGATAACCATATAATCATTGGCTAATATCAGATATTTTAAAAGGAGAGAGACCTCAAATCACAGATGATACTCCCGAACCTTATGTCGAATTGATGAAAAGATGTTGGGATCATGATTCAGGAAATAGACAAGCTTTAAAGAAATTAATGATTATCATGAAAAAAAAAAAAAGGTTATTGAATTACAGAAGCTAAACGACAAGAATTGTCAATTCAGAAAATATTTGTCATACAAAAGGATTATAAACATCATCCAGAATCAGTTTATACAAGTCGTCCATTAGATGAGTTAATTCAGCAATCTGGATCATTAAGTCTTATGTCAAT